TGGTGGTGGTAAGGTGGTGGTGGTGGAGGTGGTGGTGGTGGAGGTGGTGGTGGTTGTGGTGGTGGTGGTGTGGGTGGGGGTGGTGGTGGTGGAGGTGGTAGAGATGGTAGAGGTAGAGGTGGTGGAGGTGGTGGTGGTTGAGGTGGAAGTGGTGGTTGTGGTGGAGTGGTGGTTGAGGGGGTGGAAGTGGTGGTGGAGGTAGAGGTGGTAGTGGTGGTGGAGATGGAGGTGGTGGTGGGTGGTGATGGTGGGGGAGGTGGGGGTGGAGATGGTGGTGGTGTAGTTGGTGGAGGTGGTGGTAGTCGTGGTGGAGGTGGTGGTGGTGGAAGTGGAGGTGGTCGTGATTGAGGTGGAGATGGTGGTGGTTGTGGAGGTGAAGGTGGTGGTGGTGGTGTGTGGTGGTGGAGGTGGTGGTGGAGGTGGAGGTGGTCGTGATTGAGGTGGAGATGGTGGTGGTGTTGTGGTGGTGAAGGTGGTGGAGTTGGTGGTGGTGGTGGTGGAGGTGGTGGTGGTGGTGGAGGTGAAGGTGGTGGGTGTGGAGTTGGTGTTTATGGTGGTGGTGGTGGTGGTGGTGGTGGTGGTGGTGGTGGAGGTGGAGGAGGTGGTTGAGATGGTGGAGGTCATTGTAGAGGTGGTGGTGGTCGTGCTGATGATGGAGGTGGTGGAGGTGGAGTTGGCGGTGGTGGTGGTGGTGGTGGTGCAGGTGGTGGAGATGGTGGTGGTGGAGGTGGAGCAGGTGGTTGAGATATTGGAGGTGGTGGTTGTGGAAGTGGTGGTGGAGGTGGTGTTGATGAGGTCGAGGTGGTGTTTGACATGGTGCAGTTTGTGGTGGTGTAGGTGGAGGTGGTGGTTGTGGTTGTGTAGGTGGTGGTGTTGGAGGTGGTGGTGGTGGTGGTGGTAAGGTGGTGGTGGTGGAGGTGGTGGTGGTGGAGGTGGTGGTGGTTGTGGTGGTGGTGGTGTGGGTGGGGGTGGTGGTGGTGGAGGTGGTAGAGATGGTAGAGGTAGAGGTGGTGGAGGTGGTGGTGGTTGAGGTGGAAGTGGTGGTTGTGGTGGAGTGGTGGTGGAGGGGGTGGAAGTGGTGGTGGAGGTAGAGGTGGTAGTGGTGGTGGAGATGGAGGTGGTGGTGGGGTGGTGATGGTGGGGGAGGTGGGGGTGGAGATGGTGGTGGTGTAGTTGGTGGAGGTGGTGGTAGTCGTGGTGGAGGTGGTGGTGATAGAGGTGGAGATGGTGGTTGTAGTGATGGAGGTGGTGGAGGTGGTGGTGCTGGAGGTGAAGGTGGTGGGGGTGGAGGTGGTGGTGTTGGAAGTGTAGGTGGGAGTGGTGGTGGTGGTGGTGGTAAAGATAGTGGAGGTGGTGGTCGTGGAGGTGAAGGGGTGGGTGTAGAGGTGGTGGTGGTGGTGGGGGGGGGGGGGGAGGTGGTGGAGGTGGAGGTGGTGGTAGTGGTGGATGTGGTGTTGGTGGAGGTGTAGTTCATGGAGGTGGTGGTGGTGGAAGAGGTGGTGGTGGACATGGTGAAGGTGTTGGTGGTGGGGGAGTTAGCAGATGTGGTGGACGTGGAGGTGGTGGTGGTGGAGGTGGTGATGGTGGTGGAGGTGGTGGTGGTGGTGGAGATGAAGGTGGTAGGTGTGGAGGTGGTGTTTATGGTGGTGGTGGTGGTGGTGGTGGTGGTGGTGGTGGTGGAGGTGGAGGAGGTGGTTGAGATGGTGGAGGTCATTGTAGAGGTGGTGGTGGTCGTGCTGATGATGGAGGTGGTGGAGGTGGTGGTGGAGGTGGTGGTGGTGGTGCCTGGTGGAGTTGGTTTTGGTGGAGGTGTTGGAGGTGGTGGTAGTAGTGGAGAAGGTGGTGATGGTGGTGGAGGTGGAGTTGGCGGTGGTGGTGGAGGTGGTAGAGGTGATGGTGGTTGTGGATGTGGTGGTGGAGGTGGTGGTGATGGACGTCAAGGTGGTGTTGGACATGGTGCAGGTCGTGGTGGTGCAGGTGGAGGTTGAGGTGGTGGTTGTGGTGGTGTAGGTGTGGTGTTGGAGTTGGTGGTGGTTGAGGTGATGTTGGTGGTGGTGGATGTGGTGGTGGTGGTGGAGGTGAAAGTGGTTGTGGTGCAGGTGGTGGTGGTGGTGGTTGTGGTGGAGGTGGTGGTGGTTGTGGTGGTGGGGGTGGTGGTTTTGGTGGTAGAGGTGGTGGAGATGGTGGTGGTGGAGGTGGAGGTAGTTGAGATGGTGCATGTAGTGGAGTTGGAGGTGGTGGTGCTGGTGGTGGAGGTTTTGGAGGTGGTGGTGGTGGTGGAGGTGTAGGTGGTGGTGGTGGAGGTGGTGGTGGAAGTGTTGGAGGTGGTGGAGGTGGAGGTTGAGGTGGTGGCAGTGGTGGATGTGGTGGTGGTGGAATTGGAGGTCGTGGAGGTGGTGGTGGTGGAGGTGGTGGTGGAAGTGGTGGAGGTGTTGGTGGAGGTGGTCGTGGTGGAATTGGTGATGGTGGAGGTGTTGCTGGAAGTGGTGGAGGTGTTGGTGGAGGTGGTGGTGGTGGCGGTAGTGATGGTGGTGGAGGTGGTGGTAGAGGTGGTGGTGGTGGAGGTGGTGGAGGTGATGGTGGTGGAGGTGGAGGTGGTGGTGCTTGAGGTGGAGATGGTGGTGGTGGAGGTGGAGGTGCTTGAGGTGGAGATGGTGGTTGTGGTGGTGGTGGAGGTGGTTGTGGTGGTGGTGGAGGTTGTGGTGGTGGTGGAGTTGAAGGTGGTGGGTGTGGAGTTGGTGGTGGTGGTGGTGGTGGTGGTGGTGGTGGAGGTGGTGGAGATGCTGGTGGTGGAGCTGGAGGAGGTGGTGGACTTGGTGGAGGTGGTGGATGTGGAGGTGGTGGTGGTCGTGGTGGTGGTGGTGGAGGTGGTGATGGTGGTGGTGGAGGTGGTTGTGGTGTTGAAGGTGGTGGAGGTGGTTTTGGTGGAAGTGGTGGATGTGGTGGTAGTTGTGGAGAAGGTGGTGGATTTGGTGGAGGTGGAGGTGATGGTGGTGGTGGAGGTGGTAGAGGTGGTGGTGGTTGTGGATGTGTTGGTGGAGGTGGTGTTGATTGAGGTCGAGGTGGTTTTGGACATGGTACAGTTTGTGTTTGGTGTAGGTGTAGGTGGAGGTGGTGGTTGTTGTGTTGTAGGTGGTGGTGTTGGAGGTGTTGGTGGTTGTGGAGGTGAAGGTGGTGGTGGTGGAGGTGGTGGTGGTGGTGGAGGTGAAGGTGGTTTTGTGGAGGTGGTTGTGGTGGTGGTGGTGGTGGTGGTGGTGGTGGAGGTGGTAGAGATGGTAGAGGTAGAGGTGGTGGAGGTGGTGGTGGTGAAGGTAGAGGTGGTGGTTGTGGTGGAGTTGTGGTCGAGGGGGTTTAGGTGGTGGTGGCAGTGGTGGTGAAGGTGGAGGTGGTGTTGGGGTGGTGATGGTGGTGGAGTTGGGGGTGGTGTAGTCGGTGGAGGTGGTAGTAGTGGAGGTGGAGGTGGTGGTGATAGAGGTGGAGATGGTGGTGGTAGTGGTGGAGGTGTTGGAGGTGGTGGTGGTGCAGTTGAAGGTGATAGGGGTGGAGGTGGTGGTGTGGAAGTGTAGTTCGGACTGGTGGTGGTGGTAGTGGAGGTGGAGCTGGTGGTGGTGGCGGATGTGGTGGTGGTGGAGGTGGAGTTTGTGGAGGTGGTGGTGGTGGACGTGGTGGTTGAAGTGTTGAAGGTGGTGGTGGTGGTGGAGTTATCAGAGGTGGTGGAGGTGGTGGTGTTGGAGGTGGTGATGGTGGTGGATGTGGTGGTGGAGGTGGTGGAGGTGGTGGTGGTGG